TGTATACTATTTTGTTATTTAGTTTGTTTTAGGTTAGGTACGTTCTTGTCTACTTAACTTTAGTCTCTACTGAATACTATATTTACTTTTTGTTAATTAGTATAAAGACAGTAGAAATACTTAGTAGTAACACACACACACACACACACACACACACACACACACACGCACGCATACACACACACACATATATGGTTCACTAAATGCACATACACTGCAATGGTGAATGTTTTTCCACGGTTCTTTGTGGTGAAACTAATTTAGAAATTGAAAATTACTGAACTACTCCGATATTTTTGATTTGTTGAGGGATTTCTTCTGATGGTGGGCTATCGTGGGTTTGTTTATGTGTCACTATTTTGTGAAATATTTGTCGCAATTGTTCAGATTGTCAAGTTATCCTTAACGAATTAATCATCTATTCTCTTGTTTCTTCTTGCTCTGTGTAAAATTCAGCATGATCTCTTGTCAGATTTTCATTTTTGCCTCCTGGTTTCCCGTATCTGTTTTTGTTAGCTTCACCTGTGTATACACTGTGCTATTTTTCTTGGTCTTCTCAATAGTCAGGGATTGTCAACTTTTTTCAAGTTAATTTTTATAGGCTTATAGGACAAAAAATAAAAAACAGGGTTCTCCTTTATTCATAGGGAGGTGAATCATCTGTAAGTGTGTCTAGATTCAAGCTTGTCCCACAAAAAGAACTAGGCCAGATGTTATTTATTTAGTGTTTATCTATGTTGTTGATGCTATTTCTTCAGGTATTAGATTTTGTGCCACACTGTGCTAGGTTCTATTCAAAATTTAGTAAATTTATCTTGTTTCTTTATGAATTTTGCTATTCACTGCGTAGTGTTGAAACTTGTGACTACTTATGGAATGCTTTGGGATTATAGTTATTCTTGTTTCTTGTTCAATCAGGTGAAAAGCTCCTTCAACTTGAGCGAGAGAAGGGAATTGTCATCCGCTTCATGATTGGCCACAGGTGTGATGCTTTACCATACTCTTACAGAATCTTCTGGGTATTGATATGACAAACATTTAGTTATCTTTTAATTTTTTTTGTTTTGAATATCTTAGTTTTCTGCTTTGTTGCTTTTTACTCTTCATGAATTTTCTTTTATGTTTGGTAAATAAACATATGGATCTTAGATTTACCTGATATTTGTACGTTATAGTCAGTTGTGCAAATGGAGTGTTGGGAAACTGATGAATTAATGCGTGTCAGTCTGCTGAAATCTTTATGAAGTCTTTTACTGAATAAATGGCTGTTCATGAACTTCAATTAGGGAAAATTCCTTCAAATGTTTGCATTTTGTTTTAGCATACTGTAAGCAATATATAATTTAATAGAAATGTTATATTTTAGTTTTATTTATTCAATTCATAATGTTTGTTTCAGCTATTTAATTTCCTCCCTAACTTTTTAATTTATTAAAATTTTCATTTTTTTGAACAAACTAGATATTCTTGTGAATGTTCTTATAACCAGAATATAGAAGCCATTCTAAATTTTTCATTAGGTTTTTTTTTTCCTTTTCTCTTTTCCTATTTCTTCTCCATAAAACATATTTTTTGCCCTTAATCAGGATTTAGATAAAGTCATAAATATGAATATTTACATTCTAAGTAGAGATGGACATGTTCGGTAATTTTATCAAATCAAGGAAATCTTTAAGTAAAGAGACTTGGGGTTTATTTTTTGTTGTTGTGGGTATGTGAAGCACCCTTTTTTGGGGTTTAAGACTTTGACTGAGCACTCGGCTTGTGGGTTTCATTTGCTATATAAAAGCTTGATTACTATTCAACAAAGTCAACTATTCTCAAAGAAAAAAAAATAGGGTTGAGAGAGAGTGAGAGCGAGAGATTTTAGGAGGTTTGGAGGGGAAATAACAGCAGTGAGAAACTTAAATTGTAATACTCCTATTTATTTTTTCTTACATCTAGAGTTAAAAGGTGAGATTCTGAAAGCTATGTAGCTTAAAATTTACAAAAGCCTCGAACTATTGGGTATCCTTGGGTAAGCCTACCATGATTACTTCAATGTGTCTAGGGACAAGGTGGCTTGGCATAAACTTTCTGGTTCATAGCATAAAGTTTATTGCCTTTAACAAATTGACGCCATGGTCCAAATGAACAATACAGTGCCTTTACATATTTAGGTTTGTATATTTTTTAATTTTTCAGTTGCCCAATTTAGCTCTTTTCCTCCAATGGAGGAATTCATCGAGGGATGTACCAAATTTCACTGTCCTACTCATATTTCCTGTGGCAAAGACTGTCTTCATATGCGTGAAAGGCTGGGTCTTTCCTGAAATGGTATATTTTTTTTTACTCACTGTCCTCTACTCATATTTCCTGTGGCAAAGACTGTCTTTATATGTGTGAAATGCTGGGTCTTTCCTGAAATGGAATATTTTGCTAAACAAGAGGGGTTGACACACAAAGTAGATGCATATAGGACCAGAAGGTGCATTACCTTAGCAATTTACCTATTACAAAGTGTGTTTCCCTTGATGTTTGACAGATTTGGAAATTACATTACTTAGTAATTTATCAATTGCATTGTTCCAATTTAAATACAAATATTCATAGTGATTTGTCAATTGCATTTTTCCAATTTAAATACAAATATTGCCATATCTACAAAACAAACAAAAGAAAAAAAAAAATTAGATGTTTATCAACTATGCACATCTCACACTATAAGTCGAGGCTCAAATGATGAACCTGCAAAATCATGATATATGATCAATCCTTGCATGTGATATGGATCATTCTGCTTGTAATTCTTCTCTAAGCAAACACACTATTTTTTTTCTTTTGGATTAAGAGAGGTGCTTTTTCGTGCGGCCATTAATCTCTTTATTTTTTATTTGGAAATTAAAAGTTAGGGTGAAACTAATTCTATTTAATGTTCTGTGCATTCTTTTCCGTTGGACACGTGCTGTTCTATTGTTGTCAAAATTATAAGGCTATGTCATTTATCTGATGGTAGTGAGTCATTTATTTGGTCTTCCTCTGTCACTGCTCTGTACGATGCTTCAAATCTGAGTGCTTAAAATGGATAGAATACTGATCAGTCTGGTTTCAATTGTAGTGCCACTTCCAATAGCATTCTGGACCGTGCTATTGATTCAGAAGAAGATCAGCATAAGGATTTCCTGAGGCTGGTAAGGCATTGTGCTTTCTTGCATCTCATTAAAAATTGAATGAAATACGAGAACTCCAATTGCCTTTATTTGGCAGGACCATGTTGAAGGCTATCATGAACTATCTGCAAAAACCAAGATATTTTTTAACACCGCGGTTACCAAATGGGATGCTGAGTTCTATGTTAAGGTCGATGATGATGTTCATGTCAATTTAGGTATGATTCTTGGTCCTTGACCTTCATCAATTGAAATTCTTCAGTTCCCATTATTGCTAATGCAAGATTATGTTCTGATTACAGGTATGCTTGTGGCCACTCTTGCCCGGCATCAATCGAAACCTAGAGTCTACATAGGATGCATGAAGTCTGGACCAGTTCTGTCACAAAAGTAAGCCGCTGTGAATCTCTTTACGACCTTTCTTTCTTCAACCTCCATATTTTCTAATGGAAAATTCTCTACAGAAGTGTGAAGTATCATGAACCTGAATACTGGAAGTTTGGAGAGGAAGGGAACAAATACTTCAGGCATGCTAGTGGGCAAATTTATGCCATCTCCAAGGATCTGGCTACATATATTTCAATCAACCAGTAAGTGGGCACTTCAGAGACACATAGCGCACACACACACACATACACAAAGAAACAAACACGCATACATATACACACACATGCACACACACGCACATAAGGGGGGGCAAGGAGGGAGGGATGGACACACACACATGCAGAGGGAGGGTGGTAGGGCTATAATCCTACAGTGGCAGCATGGCCCTTATTATTGTTATGGTGCAGGCCTATACTGCACAAGTATGCCAATGAAGATGTTTCCCTGGGAGCCTGGTTTATTGGGCTTGAAGTCGAACATATTGATGACCGCAGCTTTTGCTGTGGAACTCCACCTGGTACTGCAAACTTCCTGTGCTCCACTAATGTATAATGTACTTGCTTTTGTTGGTCATTCCATTTTAAGTTTCTATTCTAATTGATTGTGATGCTTTAATGGCATTCTTAAGATTGTGAGTGGAAGGCACAAGCTGGAAATGTGTGTGTAGCATCTTTCGACTGGAGCTGCAGTGGGATCTGCAAGTCAGTAGAGAAGATAAAAAATGTGCACACACGGTGTGGTGAAGGTGATGGAGCTGTATGGAGTGCTCTTTCATAGAAACCCTTGTTTTTCAGTGAGGGTTTGATTTTGTGAAGACATTTTTCGAACTTGCACTTGAGCATTTGGGATTAAGTTTTTGGGTACCGAGAAAGCAGCTAAACATGGGATCTTTCTTCAAGACGGCCAACGGTGCTGATAGAACGTGGTCCATGAATCAAGTGCTTGTCCCATGACTGTGTTAAGTGCTTCGAGTAGAGAAGATGAGGAGATTGGAGTTCTACCAATGGTGGTATGGTCGGTTGCTACTTGTTGGTTGGTTCTGGTAGAATCGGGAATCGGATTAGTTTTGGTGTTTATTTATTATGAATATTATTCTTATTACTGTCATGATTATTTTTGCTGTAATGCAAGCTGTTTTGGACACTTGGAATTCTTTGCTGGGGCTGATTGCTTTGTAATGCAGGGTATATATGTTATACATTTAAACATTTTATGGGCAGCACAGCCCTCTAAACTCCTCCTAATCATCATTTCAATTTTGTGTAGTAAAAATTGTAGAAAGAGAGAGAGACTCTCTCTCTGTCACTCACACACACAGACTCTTCATGTCCATTATGGTGTACAGGAAATTTGGTTTTTGGGGTTTTGTTTTATCACTTGTTATGGCTCAATGTTTTGTATTTTTGCCAAAACTTCCTTTAGGCTTTTGAAGTTCTGCTCCTCTCACGCTATGCTGTCCCATAAATTGATGGTGGAAATGGGAAAGAGATTCATTGAAAGCTATTAGAGTTTTGATGGGAAGGAGACCCGTGTGCTCGAAAATTAAAGCGAAAAAGAGGAAAATGCTGAGAACAATAATAAAACAAGGGATGGTATATGATGAGATTATTTATCTTTGATACAAGGTGGTCACAATTCTTTACAACCATTTGATGTGAAATTTAATAGTTTGGATGTATCACAAAATTCGAGAAAATTTCTTTTGAAATTTAAGTTTGGTCAATAAAATAATTGCAATCATTCAGTTTTATATCCCATGGTCAATATTAATGTGATCACCTTGTGTGAAAGGTAAATGGTTTTATTCTATATTTTCCAATAAAATAAAACAAATAAATGCTAGGAAAAGAGGACTATTTTAGTGCTCTTGAATTGTACAGTACGGTTATTGGTATGCAAATTTGATATTTTTAGCAAGGCTACTTATTTTATTAAATGTCGAAAAGAGAGATTCAAGTGAGTGTAGGAAATGAGAGTTTAGGGTTCTAAGAGATGAGATTATCTATAAAGAAGCTATTTATTTTTTTGTAGAAGTTCACATTCATTTTTGTCCCTTAGATTTTAAATGGGTGGTTGTAAGAGTTTTATTGATTAGACACAGTTTAAAAAAAAATTATTTGTATTTTGTGATTCACCTCAAGCCATCCAATTTGGTATCTAATGAGTAGAAGTAGCTGTGACGTCATTGTACAAAAGATAAATGGTCTCTTCGTAGACAATTTCATAAAAGATATGCTTTTCCCCTCATTAGATGTCAAATTGGATAACTTAAAGTGAATTACTTTGAGATTTTTTTTTTGTAACTTTGTTTCTATTCAATGATACTCCTACAATTGTCCATTTTGAAATTTAAGGGACAAGAATGATCGTGATCTCTATGTCATCATCATCATTATATCATTTTTTCAATTATTTAATGTCGGTTACAGGAATCCTGGTCCGCCATTCTACTCTAGTAAAAGACATATCCTCAGTAAGGCCACAAGTTCCCATATCTTTTCAGATTACTTCCAACTACGTCTTTTTGAGCTACCCCTTGCCCTTTTCAGTCCTTCCACTTGAACTACGTCGCACCTCTTAACAGATACTGTACTTGGTCCGCGCCACATATGGCCAACCCACTTAAGTTTACTCTCTCTCATCTTATCGCATGGTGCCATACCTAAATTCTCCTGAATGAATTCATTTCGAATTCTATCTCTTCTTGTTTTACCATTTATCCATCTCAACATCTTCATCTACGCTATACTCATATGGTGACTTCTATGTATAAAAGATAATGATCTATTTGATCGCTTATTGGTACCATATCTAAATTCTTATGAATGCATTCATTTTAAATTCTATCCCTCCTTGTCTTACTATTTATCTATCTCTACACCCTCATATCCGCTACACTCAAATCATGACTTCTATGTATAAAAGATACATGATCTCTTTGTAGACAATCCCTTCCTATCATTTGGATTGAAATCTTGTATATTGGGGTTAGTATTTCTTAATCTATGGCATTAGAGTAATTTACATTTTGTTTTTAATTTATAGATTAATTTGATCATGTTAATTATCCTTGACAAATGGCATCCCATAGAGGGTTTAAGTGCGGTTTTTCAGGTGAACATAAAATGCTTCCAAACTCAATCAACGAGGGTCTATTGTGGGAACCATTTTATCAACGAAGCAATTCATGTATGACTTTTAATTTAAAAGTTTTAAAAATATTATATGGTTTGAACTTTGAAAGGATCAACTTACTCTCACGATTAAAACCCATAGCCACTCGAATAAAAACCCGCGGTATTTTTTATTTTTAAAATTTTGGGATTGATTTTCTAAATTTTGGGGGTGTACTTCAACAAGATAGCGACCATCATATGTACTCGTACTAGATCGTGCGATTGAAATAAAGGGAAATATATATAAAAATCATAATATTTTTTAGAAAAATTTTGTATAGAACTCTAATTTCGCATATTATTTCATAGTAGACTATCTTTCCGTTTTCTTTCAAGGACAATAAAAAAATTTCTAAGAATTTCACCAAACCCATCATCTCTTATCTCCTCACATAGCTCCAATCCCTCGAATCCTCGCATACCACAGGCAAGGGACATACATTTTCTTCTACCCATCAAATACCTCAAGTGTCAACAGCCTTGTTCAAACCAAGTATAACCTTTTCCCTTTTTTTTTTTGAAATACATCTAAGAAATTTATTGATCACTAGAACTCTCTGTATACCATTTGAAATGATCAACTTGCTCCCACTCTTTTTCCCTTTCTACTTACTAAAAAAGTTTTTGAGTGGAAATGATATAAAAAGATTTGTTAGAGCTATATTTTATGAACAAAAGTCAATAAAAGAGGGAGATAAAAGGTGAAGGGATATGATGAAATCTTTAAGGGTTTTTTCAGTCCGCTTGAAAGAAAACTAAAAAAGCGTCTACCATGAAATAATACGAAAAATTAGGGTTCTAAACGAAAATTTACCTATTTTCTAAGTGTTATCCACATACCTATTCACCCAAAAAAAAAAAATAATGTTATTCATGCACTATACTGTGAGTACACTCTTTTGAGTTTTAATATTTATACACGGACAAGAGTGTGGGTACGTGGGACTCATTAGGGCAGACTTACAAAAAAATTTAGGGAAATTTATAGTAAAACCCTTTTTTATTTTAACTAAAAAAACCCCATTTATATATACCATTCATTAAAAGATTGGCCGATTTTTAAAAAATCGGCTGACTAAATCATGATCGGACATTGGCCGATCATGGTTGTCCCAATTCTGATGGTCATGTAATCTGATTTTTTTTTTTCAGTGCATTAATCGACCGATTTATTGTACTAATTGACTGATTAGTGTACTAATCGACGATTTGTTGTAAAGATCGTACAATTTGTGCACTTTATTCTATAAGGTTGCAACCTTGAACAATCCAATTAAGTGCACCTCCAAATTTTATCATAAGATGTAATTTTGGTGTAAAAAAATATTAGGATTATATGAAAATCTATTTTCATATCTAATTAGAAAATTATAAGCCCAAAAAATAGTTAAAATCAAGTAGATCTACAAACATATGAAAATCTTGAAAATGGATGGTCTAGATAATGTGTTGTAAGATGCGCTATTTCAGGAACTCAAAATCTCATTTTTATCATATTCATACATTCTATGTTGAGATGATCAACTAGAGGGTTTTTCAACATTAAAACAATCTTCTTCGATAAATTTTTTAGATGCATCCATATTTCAACTTTATATAAACTTTTTCCCTATATATATATATATATATATATATATTCTCGCCGTATCTCTCACCCCCTCTCCCCCTCTCTATATCAGTTGAGTTGGGACAGGTCTCTGCCCCAACCTTTCTCTCACCCTCTGCTAATGTCTCTATCACTCTATCTTTCTCTCTCTAACTGTTTGGGCAGGGGACTACCCGAACCTCTCTCTCTCACTCTAACTATTGGGGCAGGTCTGCCCCAACGTCTCTCTCTCTAAAACTATTGGGGCAAGGGATTTCCCCAACCTCTGTTTCACTCTGTCTCACTCTCTCTCTTGGGTTCTCTCTCTGCCTAAGTGTTGGGCCGGGCCTGTCCCAACATCTCTCTGACCCTCTCTCTATGGAACTGTTGGGGCTGCCCCAACGTTTCTCTAACCTCTCTTCTCTCACTTCTCTCTCCCTCTCTCTAACGTCTCTCACTCTCACTCTCTCTAACGGTTGAGGCAAGGGATTGTTCCAACCTCTCTCTCTCACTCTCTCTTTTTATCGGGTTCTGTTTTTCTCTCTTTCTCACTCTCTAAGTATTGGGGCAGGCCAGCCCCAACGTCTCTCTCACTCTTTCTCTCTCTCTCAAATTGTTGGGGGTAGGGGACTGTACCTCTCTCTCACCTCTCTCTCTCCTTCCTCTCTCTCTCTAACTATTGCGATAGGGGACTGAAAAAGTATTGTTTGATGTGCTTAAAAATTCTGAAACTCAATTATGCTTATAATATTTTTTTTTTTAGCCTATGTAACAATATAAAAAACAATACTTTAAAGTCAACTACATGAATCCTGATCGCCATACGACTCTATCAAATATTATACCAACTATAAATACCCATATCTTTTCTCATTATTTCTAACCATGTTCTTTTGATCCTACCTCTAATCCTTTTTGAGTATTCTACTTGAACCAACTCGCATATCCTAATAAGTGTTGTATTGAGTTTGTGCTGCACATAACCAGTTCATCCAAATTTCTTTCTCTATCTTATCACATATTAGATATATAAAAGAATTCTATAAATTTTTTTTTTTTTGACAAAATATGGTTTACTTTTTCTCATTGTTAAAGCTGCAAAACAGTGAAGGAAATCCATAAGAAAAATTGAGAGACCAACACTATCATATAAGATAAAAAAATATAAAAAAGATAAAAAACCACATGTCAAAAAAAAAGAAGCTACATTGTGAAAAGATATTTTCGACTCTTTTATTGTTCAACTTCAAAATCAACCTAGGAAATCCTCATAAAATACTGAAAGACAGAAAAAAACCATCAATATAATTTAAAGGAAAAAGTTTATATAAGGATGGTCCCTTATACTGTAGAACTACGGATGCCCCTCAAAAATCCATCCGAAAAGGTAGTTTTTATGTTGAAAAACTTTTTGATTGATCATCTCGACATTGAGATGTATGACTATAAAAAATAGAAAGATTTTAAGTCTCAGAAATATTTC